ATCCTGGATACAAAAGAGACAAAAAGCCAAGGTATGCAGAAAATATGAATTACACCTTTCTGGGTTATATCTAATGGACTCAAAGCTGGCATTAAAGGAAAATTCAGATAGAAGGTTCAAATCCCAAGTTCACTTTACCTAGAGAGAGCTTGAAAGCTTTACTTTTGTCTCAACCAATGTAGAAAGTTAGGACCACAGGCACTGTAATCTACATTTAATATGAGAGTATCCATTTCCGTTTTAGTTCTTTTAGACAGAGTTTCTGACACAAGGCATCAAAGCCTGCTGAGTCGTTTCCTGGAGCATGTTCCAGCTGAAATCCCCAGGCAATGGTCATTAGGGTCAGGCTCCCTTTCACTTTGACCTGCTCATGACTGGGGTAGCACTTTATTTAACAGGAGACTGAAAAACTTCCCTTTTTTTTTCCCCCAGTGATTTTATAGATGCTTTCCACTGCACGCAAGAGTCCTAGGTTAAGAGAAATTTAAGCATCTTGAGAACAAATGCTTTTTTTTTTTGTTTGTTTTGCCTGTGCAGAGACTTAACATAGTGGGGGCCTGACCCTGACTTTGACTTCCAAACATCCCAATATTACTAGCAAGGCTTGAGGATACAAATGCTGAACTGAATCTTTCCATTCAATGATTACTTGTAGAGAAGCACTTGAAGTACGGCTGCTGTAACACAGAGGGCTCAGGAGAATGGAGCTGTATATAGATCATAGGTACTTACAGATTTTAAGGAAAGCACCACCACACCTATCATGCAGTTAATTTAATTGGACTAAAGGAGAGCAACAGAGACTTCTGTCCTTAATCTTATTAAAAGAACATAGTAGCTGCCAGTATATTCATTTTACAAAGCACAGTTGATTTCTATGGCAAACCAAATTTTTTTCCCTACCTAGGACCAGCTCATTTCTCCCCTGCCATTACAGAGCTTGAATTTGTAGTTCTGAATCTGTTGCCCTCCTTTTTTCTCTTTGTATTAGAAATATAAAGGGATTTCTGTGCAACTTGTCAGTTGTCAAAACAAGTTCCAGGATAAGTTTCTCATCAGCCCTTTCTCTATTGCCAATTTGTTTAGGAAATGGCAAAGGTCTTTTTAGCACTTAGTCACAGAAAAAGGTCACTGCTGTGCCTTTGCTTTCTCATATCAGATGTTAGTGCTGCTTTGGTGCCTGTTTCACAAACAGATGAGGGACAGATCCATGCCTCTAAAAGTAAGTCCAATTAATTCCAGGTAACCCTCCCCAGTCTCTGCGCTCATGACACCAATGAGAGGGAGTGTTGTGAGATGTGAGGCATGATGCCCACAGGATCCAAAGTTTATTTGAGTTTGTCATATCAATTGAGATAAAGCCCACAAGCATTGATGAGTATCTTTGATCTACAGAGGGATGCGGACAGGCTGGATCGATGGGCCAAGGCCAACTGTATGAGGTTCAACAAGGCTCAGTGCCGGGTCCTGCACTTAGGTCACAACAACCCCGTGCAATGCTACAGGCTTGGGGCAGAGTGGCTGGAAAGCTGCCTGGAGGAAAAGGACCTGGGGGTGTTGGTCAACAGCTGGCTGAACATGAGCCAGCAGTGTGCCCAGGTGGCCAAGAAGGCCAACAGCATCCTGGCTTGTATCAGAAATAGTCTGGCCAGCAGGACAAGGGGCGGGGTTGGCCCCCTGTACTGGGCACTGGTGAGGCCACACCTCAAATACTGTGTTCAGTTTTGGGCCCCTTGCTTACAAGAAGGACATTGAGGTGCTGGAGTGTGTCCAGAGAAGGGCAGTGAAGCTGGTGAAGGGTCTAGAGAGCAAGTCTTACGAGGAGCGGCTGAGGGAACAAAGCTTGTATTAAGAAATCCTGTGAAGGAAGACTGGAATCAGGGAAACACTCAAAACAACAGGTTTGCTTAGCAGGAACAGTGCCTATGGCGCTGGTAACAAGCAACAGGTTTAGTGTTTCTGCTCCCGGTGCTTGTTGGGAGGAATATTTTGCTTGCTTTGCTGCTCCATCAGTGACTGATGCTGGTGGCATGGCTCTGGGCTATTTAAAAGGCCTTGGGGAAATTGCTGTGAAACAAGTGGCAACCCATTAGTATAATTCACATGCTGGTGCCTGAGTTAACACTGACAACGAGAATCTGAAGCTGTTTGCAGCAAAGTTCTTGAAGCACATCCAGAAAGTATTAACATGCTGCACACCAGGTGGTGAGAAGGTCACTGGGACAGGGATAATGAGCAACTGGGAAAAAACTCACATGAGAACTTTTATCTGTTCTAATTCTACCACCATCCCAGCTTTGTTCTGAAAATTGCTGTACCATAGAAGCTAATCAGGCTTTAAAAAAAAAAAACACAAAACTTTTAATCACCAGAGTATAAGAGAATAAGCATTTATCATTGATTTAGCCTACTTGGTTTTTGCCCCCTCCCTGTAATTTCCCTTCTTTAAACAACATCCTCTGCTAAAGCCTCCTTTAAAGAGTCAGTTGCACAGGCTGAGCTAGTCATGTTAGTAGATTTTGCCTGTCAAAGACACATTAGGAAGAAATACAGAAAGAGATTAACAGGAATATTCAGACTAGATGGAAGTTTTTCTTTTCTGAGCTGCTTGGGCTCAGCTGAGCAGCCAGGTCAACATGGCAAGAGCATAGATGTAGTGTTCAAGAAGAGACCCCTGGTTTTCACCATGCTAAAGAACAGTTTTACAGTTGTGCCAAGGCACGGATGAAATTGCTCCCTGCTTTATCTCTCTTCACATTTCTTCGTGTTATTGACTGATGAGCTGAGTAGACGTACATCAGAGAATGGTGGGCCCCAGTGCTGCTGTTTACATGGGAGTTCAAAATGACACTCCTGCTTTTCCAAGCCAAAGCTTAATTTATACTGACCTCACTAATGATGCTGATGAAAGGCAAAGCCAGTGTTTCTCATACATTTGAGAACTGATCCCCCATTCAGAGAAAACTGAATGTCACACATCCCATTTCAACACCGTGTCTTGGGAAAAGCATATTCATCTACCTCTTATGTGACATCTGAGCTTCCCTGTATCTCCATCCACCAGTCAGCCCTTCATCAACCTCCTGGCCATATGCTACACTTAAGAAGAGTTGAGCTGAGCAAGGTTAAATGGAAGTCTACTGTCTTGATGAAGCACAGAGATGATGGGAAAATGTCAGTGTGTGTCGATGGGAAAAGATATAACAAGGGGGAGATTAAAAAAAGTTTTGATACGTCCAAGAAGGAGGATAAATGAGACACATAAAATCACTAAATTGTACTTGATACTGTCCCTTTAACAGAGGGAAGATAGATCTTCACAGCAGCTGCATATCCTATCTTATAGTGGATTAGCACCATTTCAGTTTGTGCACTCCGTCCAAATACTTTAGCTAGAACACTCCAGGTCCAGGACTCCCTATGTTTTTTCAAGTGCTTACAATTAGTTTATAACCATCTCTGCTGACTGCCTTCACCAAAAAGCAGGCAGGCATGAACAATTGTTGCCAACGCATTTGGAAACATCACCAGAGCCAAGAAATTAAATGTTCATGGCCTTTGTGAGGGGTCCAAGAACGTCTGCAGACAGCCTGCCTACTTTCCACTGAATACCTAAGCTTGGCCGATTATTCAGAACTGGATGTGCCGTACAGGCCTGCAAAGAAAGAGGGAAGGGAGCTGGTTCAATCCATGAGAGGAGACAGCACTTGTTAGTAATGCATCTGTACCTCAGACCACAATCTTACATTGACTTGGAGTTGACTTAAAACTTCTTAGCAGAGGTACTGCTGGTAGCACAGCCACAACAAAAATGGAGGTCAGGGCAAGCTGCCTGAAACACTACACAAATGCTTGTGAGTAGTCCTGTGTAAAGTTCCTTATGTTAGTATTACTGCTGCACTTGACATAATCAAACAAAATGCATACAAGAATGCTTAAATTATGTTGACAAAGGTCAAAGACACTCCTTGCCTGCCATTAGACTCCTCCCAAGTTACATGTAGACACACTCTATGGTAATATTTGGTACCTAAATTCATATGCTCTTTGACATAAGGACATGTAGATTGGTATAGCCTTCCCAATGGCAAAGGCATGACTCCAGCTGGGGTCACTGGGCACATTATTTTAAAATAATAATATTATCTTCAAGAGCTTTCTACAGAGAATAGGACTCTGACTAACCTTGTCCTTTGGTTTTTTTTGTGATTGGTGGGTTGTTTTTTTTTTTGGTGTGCGTTTTGTTTTGGGCTTTGGGGCAGCAGGGAGGGAAAGAAGCTTTGTATCTATTGAGCTAGTGCTATGCTGTGCTGTGCCACCACAGAGACACAGAGCTATGTACAAACACGAGCATCATAGTCTAGAAACAGTGACATTTTGTCAATTTGTATTTGAGGCCGGTTTTTCTCACCAAGTGGTCTACAAATACCTGACTAAGGAGCCTGCAGTTGGCAGCTAAGAAAAGCCAGCCCTCTGTCTTTACACTAATGGGATCTGCACCTCTACCAGAAAGTCTTTTGAGACCCTGCAAATATTTTCAAACACTTTTACAACTGCTCTGGATTATGTCCCTAAGTCTTGTTCAAATTTTATTTTAAATGTCAACTAGCTAGCTGTAGCAGTACACAGAACACATTAACAGGGAAATCAATGTCAAAAGATGAAGGTACAAGCCCCCAGTCACAGGAAGAGCATCTCAATGCCAAGAGCAGAACTCTCCTGACTTCTGTCCAAGTGACTAGACCACTTAAGGAGCTTCTATCTGACCTAGTATTACTGGAAGAGTTCTCACTGGCAGCATTGCTAATGCATAACACTCTCATTTCTCCAGACTAGGAGAGAGGAATCCTGTGCTACATTATTTTCTGTTATTTTGATTTCCCGCACACTTTTTCAAATTCAGTTCTTATTTCTCTCTGCCCAGAACGTGCTTGAAGTTTTAGAAAAATTCTAGCTTGTTTGTTCATTTGTTTTTCTTGCCCTTCTTTCTCTACAGAATCTTATGGCAAGAGCCCTGTATGATAATGTCCCTGAATGCGCAGAAGAGTTGGCCTTCCGCAAAGGAGACATCTTGACAGTGATAGAACAGAACACCAAAGGTCTTGAAGGATGGTGGCTCTGCTCCTTACACGGCCGGCAAGGCATCGTTCCAGGCAACCGTGTGAAACTCCTGATAGGTCCAGTGGTACACGACAATCCCTCTGGCCAGGATATGTCCAATTCAGGACTGATGCATCAATCCTTCAACCAGCAAAAGATCTACCAAGTGCCAAGCTCTCATGCCTCAGCACGGGACCCTGTCTACCAAGTGCCACCTTCCCATCTGAATCAGGGAATTTACCAAATACCCACTGGTCACGGTCTGGTGGGACAAGATATTTACCAGGTGCCACCCTCCATGCAGAGATGTATTGACGGCCCAGCTTTGATTAACAAGGTGTGTGTGTGTTCGCTTTCATGTCATAGCTCCAAAGCAGGTCACTTGTGCTGACACCAATGAAATGGTTAACATCTAGTGATAGCCTGTGGACTTATATATATATTTATCTTTCCTGTATCTTAACTATGTAAAGTTACAGTGGTAACCTTACTGCTGCAGGAGGAAAGGAAAGGGCCAGCTCTTAACAGCTTGCTTAATTCGCTACTGAGATACACAGTACAGCACTTTGAAGCTGTGCTACCACAGCTGCTAGAAGCGAGGGGAAGTATGTGATCTTGTGTCCTCACAGTCTCCCCAGGGAGGCTGCAGCACATCTGGCCTATGGCAGTCTTGCATTACATGCTCAAAAGAGCTGCTGTGGTAAGATTAACTCTCCCACAAATTAATGAACAGTTACATCATCTGCCCAAGTAATTTTTGTTTAATTAAAAATGATGTACTGCCTTGCTGCAGAAGTCCCAATGGGTCTAAACTACAAAGAGAAAGCAATGATTAATGAGACAAGGCCCATACTTGGAAGAGCGAGGGGCAGGAGGATGATGATAATGAGGGATATTTTAATGCCCAACCTCGAGTTTATAAGGGTGCACTTGATGTTTATCTACAGCTAAATTTCTTGATTGAAAGTGGGAGCTGCAACAGCTCCATGACGCAGTCGTTACTGCAGCAGCTGAGATCTCTCAAGGCTCCAGTGAGAGGTGTTGCATTATGTGGGCTCCCCCCTTATTCCTGAAAGCTCTCCCCATCTCCTGACACTCCCTCATTTTACCTTCACAGGGTACTTGCCAGGCACCCTGGTGGCACACAGCACCTCGGTGGCTGAAAAGGGTTAGGGACAGTACCTGAGGGAGGAAGGGGAGTCTCCTGGCCTTCAGACACGTTACTACCAAGCCAGAGACGTTCCTACAGTCCCTTCATTCCCAGCTCAACAGATCCAGCTATTAGCATCCTCCCTCCCTTTAGAGCTTAAAGCATAGCATTTATACCCGAGTTATGTGAGCAGATGATGTCTGTCAGGAAGTTTCTGACTGGCTTAAACTTTCATCTCCCAATGTAAATTGGCAAGTTTTGGGGTTCCCCCCCCACCCCCACCCGCATCACCCACAACTCAGCCTTCATATCAGGCCTTTGGAAGACATCTTCTAATGTTTTTATTTCCTTGTTATAATTTAATTTTCCTTGATAAGAATAAATGGATTTTTTCCTTCTGAGCAAGAGAAAAAAAAAACCTGTGAAATTCTTCCAAGTCAAGTTATAAAGAGGTTTGTTTGCTCAGCTTTTCCACAATTATGCTTTGTAGGGTGTGCAGGAAGATAAAATGAGAAAATTGTACTTGCTGCACAGGTAGCGATAGGATCTTTGCTGGAGCAATTATGTGAGTTTTGTTGAGAAATCTCACATCTTTTCTTTCCTTTTCTTAAAAAACTAGATATAGTGAAATCTTTTTTGGGGCAGTATAGTTTACCTATACACAGTAGCATTTAGATACCCTCCAAAGTAGTTGGTGATCACCTGCACCTATTGATGGGACAGCGCAGAAGAGATCCCATTTTAGTGTGTGTCTGCATGAAACATTACAGCACTATGCAGAGACACCTCAGCTGGCCAGCTTGGGCCACAGGAGATGCACCATACTCCAGAGCTGTGCTGAAGTCTGTTGGGAAGCCCAAGGTATTAGCTTAGAATTAGCGCTGTGTATTTTAATTGTAGGACCTGACCTGCCTAAAGGACCGTTAGCATACTTTACTTAGCATAATGCAAATGCGTGCATGTTCTGCCAGAAAGGAAGAAAAATTCTCCAACTGCATGCAAAGTCTCTTCTCCCTCCTGCCCTCTCCAACTCCACTGAAACTAATAGGACGTTTTGCAGGGACTGTGTTAAAACCATAGATACACTGACAAAATTAAAACAAAGATTTTGGTTAACTGCAAACTTCTTTTTGAAATGCAAAAATCAGAGGTGCTAAAGCACCCGTTTTCTCCAAGTTTCTGCCTAGAAATTTTTCAGCAAGTTTGAACATGCATTTTTCTGAATTCAAGTCACCTTCTTTAGAAAATTAAGACCATTTATTTGGCTGACTTATAATTAGTCTCATTTAATTTCTTGCAATCCATGAAAGGTCAGTTACACTGCATAAGAACGAGTGGCTGTGCTGCCGACTGTAGAATAAACTAAACACGCACATTTATAAAGCATTTTACCCTCAGCAAAGTAGCTACCAACCTCCTTAGCGCTAACCAATTCTTCTTACTTGGGAAAGGATCACTTTAATCCTGACTTTAAATTTAATTCAGCCTAAGACCCCCAAGACTCAGTATTTACTGTGTGTTAGTGGCAGGTTTATGGGATTGCAAACTTCATGCTTTGATCAGAGGCAGACACATCTCTAGTCCCTTGGAATTGCTCAGTTCTACACTAAAAAGAGCCCATTGGGATTGAAACCGTGGTAGACAAGAGAGAACTGTAGGGTATTTAGTAAGGGACGAGCCCGAGGTAAAACCTACTCTATTCTTTAGCACCCTAACCTTGCAAAACTGCTTTTTTACTGCTACAGCTCCAACTATCTCCCAATGCCTTTGTGAAAGAAAAGCCTAATTAAGGGGAAGCACTTCAGCACTTGTCTCCTTTGTCTACGGAAATGGTCTGTCCTCCAAATCCTCCTCCTCCTCCTCTAGGGATCAGTAAAAACAATCCTTAGTATTAAGGAAAGCTGGAAATCTTGAGCATTTGATTTTGAAAAATCTTTGCTCCAACTTCCAAAACGATGAATCGCCTTTCTCCGACTTAAGCCATTGGGGCAGACGTCACAAGTGAGCCACTCTGCCTTCTTCCATCAGCAGAAACCGGTGGGTAGCAAGAGAAGACCATGTCCTCTAGACACCATTCTAAGCAGGACCAGCAGCAGCTTCTATCCTATCCATTTCTGTGCACGTTTGCCCATTTTCGTTGTGCAAATGTGTGGTTTGGCTGCTGTACAAGTTTTACAGGCAAAGCTTAGGAACTGCTGTCAGGCAGGAATTGTCTAGCCTCAAGCAACAGTAAATCAACAGCAGGCATGTTATAAAGCTGTGCTGAGGTAACACATCTCGTTAGCCAGAAAAGCAAAGCAAGTTAAAAAGGAGTCCTGAGGCAGGTAATTTTAATGATGAATTGATCCTCGCCAAGCTAGTTGTTGACAACTGAGCTGTATCGGCTCCTTCTATCAAATAAAAATACCACCTTCTAAAACTCACCCTACAAATAACAGAGATAATGAGGGATAGTTTAAAATTAGCCTTGGTTAGCCCCCGGCTTTTATAACTGTGCTGCAAGTTTAGTCACAAAACAGTTACACCCTTAAGTGTGAAAAGTATCTGAGGAACATAAAGATACAAAAGCTGTATCTTAGAATTTATTCCTTTTTTCTGTGCTCTGCCTTCAAACTTGCTCTCTTTTGCTGCAACCAGCAAAGAGAAGGAACCTTCAGACAAATCTGACATTCAGGAAACCTGGGGTTTATCCTTGCCACAGACTTCTGCATAGTCCTGAGTGGTGTTTTTGCACCTCAGCAATCTCATCTGCAAAATATGTGGGGGTAGTTATGAGGGAACTCATCCTGTGCAGACTGCTTTCAGAACATCCTTTGGGAAAGGTGCTGTCAAAGCACAAAGCTCTTTTGCCTCTGTGATTAATCATTAGTTCACACATGAGTTTTAAACTAGGGAAAACAGCATGTAAAAACTCACCACCATAATTAAAATACTCTTTTTCTGGTTCAGGGTTTCCCCTAACCGATCTGTTGTGCCATCCCTGCCATCCTGAAAATAGCATTGGCCAAAAGATTTAAGGGAAACATTTCCTTGTTGGAAAACAGTTTTAACAAATTCTGAAAGCTTTCTGTAGGAACCAGTAGCTTTCAGGAGAATTTTTGATCAAGGGAAATGAGCACAAAACAGAATATGAGGCTGATGCAGCACAGCTGTTCAACAAGGGAAGGGGCTGCACTGCAGGGGTTGCCAGCCCTGAACTACAGCTCCCACAAGGCGTGGACTAACTCAGGCAAATACAGATTGATGCCAGCTTGGAACATACCAGCTTTTTTGTTTGTTGGTCTGTTTGAACTAGAACTTTACAGTTCAGGAAACACTCAGATTTATCCACCTTTTAAAAATGGATAAAGCAGAATAGGGAAGGAACTCATATTCACACAAGAACATCCCTGGCCTATTTCCAAGTATAAACATGCCCTTGACAAATCAAGGGTGTCACACCCCGCCATCCTGCAATCTCCACCTTTTTCAAGAGTTCACTGCCCTTAGTAGGAGGTTTGGGTAAGCCACAGCTACGGGAACGGACCTTGTTCCCTGATCTTTACTTATGTTAAGAGTCATGTTGGTTGAATCCATGAGAAAGTAGAAACACCACCCCACAAGCAGCACCACCCTGACAGTTCTGGCACAGACTTCAGTAGCAGAAGCCAGTTAACCATGTTTAATTGGAAGGAGAAACGTCATAACAAGTACTGTCTTAGCTGGGAAGAAACAAACGGCTGCATACAATGTTTGTTGCTTTGAGCAACCTGGTCTTGTGGAGGGTGTCCCTGCCCATGGCAGGCGGTTTGGAACTAGATGATCTTTAAGGTCCCTTCCAACACAAACCATTCTGTGAAATAAGCCTGCCTTTGCATTATTATCTTTTTTCTTGCCTATTTTCACATTTATGAAATAAGGAGAGACATACATTAAACATAGTAAAGAGTTGCGTGGTAGATACATTTTGTCATCAAAAAAGAATGTGAGCATATCTAGTATTTCATAGTTTGTTGGCAAAATGTATTTACATTCCAAGGTAGAACAATGTCCCCATTTACCCTCAAGTCTGAAATGACACAGCTTCCTATGATATCATTTACTTAAGTAGCCCAAGCAGTCATCTTACAGTCTCTCTTTCCTTCTGCTTTCACATTACAAGTTCTACTTTGGGAATTTGTATCCTTCATAACAAAACATTGCTTCAG